GAGGGCATGTCACCCCAATTGTGGGATTAGCTGAGAATATTCCGGTCAACGTGCTACCAGGCTATATACATTTAGCAAACTTTTTTGTTGTCAGAGGATCAGTTCATACAGTGTTGGGCCGTCCTTTTTTAGCAGATCATAATATCAGGTTAGAATTATCCCATCAAAAAGGGGAGGTACTAAGTTTCCCGGATTCAGCAGGGAGAAGAGTCTGCATACCCATCTGTCTACCAGATTCACCAGGTTGGCATAAAGAGCCTCCGGCACTCAGACAAAACTGCTCCTTCCAAGTAGTCGACTGGGACCTGTTTGATCAAATAGACACAGTTGGACCTAAAGACCAAAGTATCACAGTAATTGAGTGGGAGCACTTAGAAGGGTTGGAGGAAACTCTATTCTATAGTTTGGCAGGAAAATCGGAGAGCTCACCAAGTAAAGAAGACACCTCTCCAGGGCGCTATTTGAACAGAGGGCAATCACAAGATAAGATAGGGGAAGAGGACCCATGGAAAGTGCATCTACTAGAAGCTGTAGACTGGGCCAAAGAATTGGGAGCCGCCACTCTCACCCTGGCGGAACAGAAACAGACTAATAAACAGTTGGCAGACGCGGAGGCAGCATGGGCGGCAGAACCCATTGATGTTGGTACAGGTCGTGAATGGTTTTGGGTGGATTATCTCCCCTACAGATTCAAAGACGTATTCGACGGAGCTCACATACCTAAGAAGAAGAGAAACACACAAGGATGGCTTGAAGAGTTACCCGGAGGGTTCTCAGACTCATTAGACTTTTTACAAATTTTGGACTCAAGAGGAGGGAAAGCCTTTGTTGAAGAAGGATCCTGGGCTTCGCGGTTTGGATTTATCAGCAAAAGGCTGAGGATGAGCTTGTATTTCGGGGGAGGGAAACTTTGGTATAGCATTCAAGTGGCTAGGCCCCGAGAGAAAAATCAGAGAAAGAAAGCCAAGAAAGTACACCATTACATAGGTAATCTGTACTTAAGTAAACTAAATCAATAAGTTTACAATTTTCTTATAAAAAAAAAAAAGAGAGACAAGACAAGACAGGGACAGAGAGGCAGGTTTTTTTTGGATTTTGTATTTTTATATAAAAAAAAAAAAAAAAAAGAACAGGGAGGCAAGATTTGGATGAGAGAAGAGTTTTTTTTGTTTTTTTTAAGAAGATAAATAAATAGCTACAAATACAAGAGGCCAAAGAGAAGGCAAGAGAAAAGAGAAAAGGGCTAGTACTGATCAAACTGTAACTGATGGTCTGCCACATCAGGGCTGACAAGTATGGAAAAGCAGCATGTTTGTACATTAGTATACACTAGCCATGCAATGATTGTAAAAAGGGAAACTTACTATAAGTGATGCGACCGGATGTACCAGTCTTGTGCAGCAACCACTGCATGGTTAAGTAACTTAAAGCTTTCATGATCATCAGGGGAAGGGGTGAAGTTAGAAAGGAAGGGCACAATGGCCCGGAGGAGATCAACAAAAGAGGTTCGGAATTGAAGACGAGGATCATCAGGACGCATATGTATAAACGGGGTAGGAGGAATGAAAGGATTAGTCCCCAAGACTGAGGGACCAGCAAGAGAGAAGTGAGCCGCAAAAGGGTCAGGAAGATGAAAGGATAAAGGAAAGGCCTCATCCGGGGACGTCAAAACAGTATTGAGGAAAGTATTCAGGGCCGTTTCGGTTAGATGAGGATGACCGGAATCCACCACAGCTTGGGGAAGAGAAGTGGAAGATGACGATGACCGGGGGAGCTGGTCATCGACGCTAGTAGCCTTCAACTTGCCTAAATCTATAAAGGACAAACCAGGATATGTAGGGTTAGATGGTGAATGACTAGCCATAAGAAAGAGAGTATCAGATGGCTTACTTTTAGATCGGAGGGATACAAAACGGCCTTTCGAGTCTCTCGGGCGAACAAAGGCAGGTTTTGGTTTGGGGGACAAGGATCCAGAAGAACGTTTTCGACCGGCGTAGGACTGTTTGTTTTTCTTGGGAGGGACATAAGTGGTATCGGTGGGGTCCTCATAGGGATCTAGCAACGAGAAGACAGAATCTGGGAACAAAAGCCAAGTCAAGATCAGCGAACGAAGTCGGATTCAACTGAGTAAACATGTGAGAAAAAGAAATAAGCACACCTATATCAGATTGGTTGTTGTCCTCGGATAGAAGTTGCAAGCGGGGGTCTACATGGGAAACACTGTCATCGTTTGGGTTGAACAGCCCAACATTCTCGCCGACATCTAAATGTTAAGAGTTGTCAGTCTATAGCGTCAAAAAGCGTAGGCATATCTATAGAAAGAGAGAGAGGAAGGGAGCTATCCACCGATATGCGCATTAGGAACGTAACCAGGACTAGTCGAATTGGGTGACCCGGCGACAATAGTGGGATGATCCTGATCAGTGCGGGGGGTAGGGACAAGGATGGCTAGAAGATCGAGGTTAGCATTCGGATTAGTGCACGGCAAGGAAGGATTGAAGTAGGAAAGCGCACAATCATCCAGCTCATACTCCTCGTCGGAAGCGGAAGAGTCTATGGCAGGGGCCCTGTCAGGAGTGGATGGGGCAAGGGCGGCCAATAGCCGATCTCGGTGGTCTCCAAAAGTTTCACCTAAAAATAAACCTACTACGCACGATCAGTTTTTTGAAAAAGATGGAAAAGAAAGAAGAGAGCAAACGCACCGTGATGAAGGCCCTCGGTGACAATGGGTGAAGGTACTGTGCGGACATCAATCGTAACATGTAGTTAGAAAAATCGGAGTAAGACAGGACCAAGGATAGCGAGGGACTACTCACCGTAGTCGGACACTCCTTCACGCGGGGAGGCAGCATAGTAGGAATCAGAATCTGGGAAGGAACGGATAGGAGCTAGAAGCAACCGGAGGCAAACGGAAGGCGTTAATCAAAACGCATATAAAAAAAAGGGAGAGAAGGAAGCGCTTACAGTTGAGGGTACCATCAAAGATCGAACGGATCATAGCTCTCAAACGGGGAGGGGTTTGAATAGAGCCAAAAGAGGTGAAGGAATCACCGTCCTCGTCAAAAGATGGGGTAGGCGAATAGTCCGATGAGATGGAGTAGTAGCTGCGAGGGGGATGAGGAGAAGTCATTTTTTAAGAGGCGGTAGGGGGGAATGGTTGATGAGGGGAGAGCGAGGAAGAGGCAGAGGACTTGCCCTTTTATAGACCAGAGAAATCCTAGAGTCGGCAAGACAATCCGGGGTGCGTACCTTAGTCGCCCGACAAGTCGGAGAGATCGAACAAAGGCAGAAACAAAACGACGGTCCATAGGGAGGAGTATTTGTGTAGGGAGTACCAAGCAGGCTCCGGATTCTGAATGGGATCGACAATGGTGGAACTGGGTAGTAGCACCTGCATAAATTAAGAGGATAAGGAAATGCAATATTTGTATTAGCGGGAAGCGATGAAGAATAAAGAAGTGCTGAAGAACACAAGGGATCGCAGACTTACGTGCTAAATGGTGCGCTTGGCGACTATTGAGTTCGGATGAGAATAGGGAAGGTCTCGGCAGAGATTTGGATCAGCTAGAAGGATGGGTGACGGTCGAACGTACAGGGCCGGTCTCAGGCCGGTGGCGATGACCAGTAGTTAGAGAGGCACACAGGAGAAGACGAGAGGGGCTGGAGAACATAGATTAGGGACTTGCGTGCTAGAACGGCGTAACCGGATTCGAATATCTCTGAACAAAATACAGGGAGGGGCTCTTCAAGGAGTCGGTTAGCTGGGATGAGGGTCGTAACTGAACATATCGAGCTGACTTTCGAACCAGCGGCGGCTGAACGGCCTGAAGAGAAACAAACCGAAATATGGATAAATAAAAGATAAAAGAAGTGGCAGGAAGGAAGTTCGTTTTTCCAGTCAATATTAAACAAAGCAGGATATGAAAAAAAAAAAAAAATAAAATAAAAAAAATAAAATAAAAAACATATCACACATACCGAGATAAATGAGCAGTCCATTGGAAGTGCTGCAGATATTCCAGCGGGTCGGAGTTAGAATCCGGAGGATGGGCCGTGTCCAAAGGGTATCAAATTGAGAAGAGATCGACAAATTGGCGGGCTAGGCTTTTGTACGACTTACAAACAAGAGGCCGGGGTTTTTTTGTTTTTGAGTGTGATCGCAACAAGTAGCTACTTATTACAGTTTGGGTAACTTCCTCTCGGCATCTCCGGATATAGAAACGTTGTTTGGCAAACCAGTATGGGTATCGGTTAATCTGTACACTCTCAAGCGGCTTGGAGTACGATAAAATAGGTAAATAAGAAAATAAATAAATACTACATACAATAAAGAAAAGGAGGAGAACAATAGAACATTGGTCCTGCTGTATGACCTTAAACTGCGGCAAGTCCAATATAAAAAAAGAGAGACTTTAAGATGGCCACCTCAAGCCCTGTCATGGAAAAACAAGTTTTAGCAGCCAAGTACAAAACAGTGGACAAAAAGATTAGGCCCATTAACCACCCCATGCCTCAAGACATAAACCCTCCACTCCAAAGGCCACCTTTATCAAGGGACCCTTACAAAACTCCATTGACACCTCATCCTCCTCAATTCATACCAACTGAAAGAATTACACATGAAAGACTGAAAGCAGTAAATTTTGGACCCCCAGGGTGGCTTTCTGAAGAGGAATTAAGTTTGTTGAAACATGTAATAGTATTAAGACAAAAATCTGTGGCTTTTTGTGAAGAAGAGAGGGGCCTACTACACCATTCTTATGGCCAGCCATACAAGATACCAGTGATAGCGCACAACCCTTGGCAAAAGAGGCCAATACCAATTCCCAAACCCATACTACCAGATTTCATAGAGCTAGTAAGAAAAAGAATTAAGACTGGATTATATGAACAATCTACATCAAGTTATTCCAGCCCGGTGTTTTGTGTAACCAAGTCAAATGGGAAGCTTCGAATAGTTCATGATCTTCAAGTACTGAATAAAGTAACAATAAAGGATGCAGGGCTGCCGCCCAAGATTGAAGAATTCGTGGATTCATTCTCAGGAAGGGCATGTTATGGATTAGGGGATATCATGGGCGGATATGATGAGAGAGAACTGGACCCAGCATCTAGGCCCCTCACAACTTTTGAAACAGTTTTGGGAAGGCTACAATTGACAAGAATTCCCCAGGGTGCAACAAACTCCGTGGCCGTCTATCAAGCCCAGATGGTTTGGATTCTCCAAGAAGAAATACCAGAGCACGTGGGAATTTTTATTGATGATGGGGGAATAAAGGGGCCAAAATCAACATACAATAATGAAAAATTGAAAGAAAATAAAGAAATCAGGAAATTTGTGTGGGAATATGCTGTAACTTTGGAAAGGATCTTATTCAGAATAGAAGAAGCAGGCCTCACCATCTCAGGAGAAAAGTTTGCGTGCTGTGTTCCAGCTCTGGACATAGTAGGACATGTGGTATCTCAGGCTGGAAGAATAATGTCAACACAGAAGGTCAACAAGATACAAAGCTGGCCAACACCTACAAACAAGAAGGATATTCGTAGCTTTTTGGGTCTTTGTGTATACGTCAGAATGTTTATCAGAAATTTCTCTACAGCAGCTGCACCACTCAGGCGCCTTACCAGGGATGACGTTGAATTTGCCTGGGACCAGAGGTGTCAAGAAGCTTTTGAGGAATTAAAGAAGATTGTAGGAGAGGAAATAGTATAAAAAATTAG